CCTGGTCCCAGTTTAGTTCAGCTGGCGGATGAGCTGATTGATGCGTTCACCCCGATAGCCAGGAGAGCCCATCTCCTTGAGGAACCCCACTCTGTTCTTGGTAGCGTGACGGGCCACAGAGAGGTGGAATGGGCACAAGAATGAAGAGATCGCCCGGAAATGCTTCCCCAGGAAGGCAATTTCATGGATGAGGTCTTCCAGGCAAATGACACCAAATCTCCCTGAGAAATAAAAGGTGTAGATTTTGTTGTTCACCATCAAGCCAGTGCTCCCATGACAGAGGGGACTTAAAGCCCAAGAACACACCCTGGTCAAGCCACAGCCACCAACACCCCTGCTGGCCTCAGCAGCAGCACTCACCCAGGTGCTCCTCAATCACGGTGTTGTCGGTCAGAGGGACAGTCTTATTATTAATCTTCGCTTGTCCACGTTTCAAGATGAGTTCCCGGACAGATTTCAGATTTGGAAATCTATGTAAGGCACAATAGAGCATCCTGCATCACTCTGGCTGACAAGAGGTAAAGGTCCTCTCACCCCAACTTCTCACAACCTGGGTACAGTGAGTCTGAACTGGGCTTGGGTTGCCCAGCAATGTCTTGACTCAATTAAGCTAAGAGCAAACCAACCCATCTGCCAACTGAAAATCCTAGAGTGGGCCTGAGTATATAATTAGACATTTAGATTTTTTGAGACTGGGTCTTATTCTTATGGCCTATGCTGGCCTCAAACTTGCAGCAATCCTCCTGCCTCAGCCTTTGGTTCATAGGGATTACAGCCTGAGGCACCATGCTCTAAATTTGCACTGGTTTGAGAAAGAGTCTTACAGGATAGCTCAGGCTGACCAGGAATCCACAGCAACCTCGCTGCCTCTGCCTCCCAAGTGCTGGGATTAGGGGTGTGAGCCACCACCCAGAAGACCACTACTGTCACACAGGCACCGACTTACTTAGGCCCGGGTGTTACCCTCACTGCCCTTCACTTTACAAGTCCTAACATGACCCTGTAAAGACTACCATCAGCATCACTGCTGTCTTATACTCCAAGGTTCTTTATTTCTGGTGAGTGACCACAGCAAAATGCCCAACACAACACAAACCTTGAGAAAACAATACCCCGTGTGTCTTAAACACTCAAAGTACAAGGGAACTCACATGGAAAACTGTACTCACCCCCAGGTCACATAAGGCTCCACTGTACGCAGCATTCTTACAGTCTGAGGGGTGACATTGATGAAGACACCACTGAACAATTTCTTCAGGCGAAGTTTTGCTATGGTGTTCTGTACCAGAGAACTCACTCCTTCTATCCTGAAAAGAGCAGCTGTCAGTTCATTTGGTGTGTTCTTGTTTTTAGAGACAGGTTTCTCTGTGGTTTTGGTGCCTGTCCTGGAACTAACTCTTGTAGACCAGGCTGGCCTCGAACTCACAGAGATCAGCCTGCCTCTGCCTCTGCCTCCCGAGTGCTGGGATTAAAGGAGTGCGCCACCACCGCCCAGCCAGATGTCAGTTCTGACTCCAGCCTATGCCAGTCTGTTTGGCAGGCAATCCTGAAATGCATGACTGTTTACCAGTTCCACAGAATTCACCTTAGAGCTCTGTGCACCGGGAGGCAGCTTGGAAAGAGACCATTTTCCCACTCTGTGGAGCCATCCCCGGATGCTACAGAACAGTCTCTGAATGACAGACTGGCAGGGGTTGGCTATAGGATTATGTGTTCATCTAAGGAAGCTAAGGATTGCTTTAATGGGCGGTAGGAAAAGCAAAGAACATGTTCAGATTTCCTTCTGACTATCGCCCATGAGGCAGAGCTGAGGGCTGACATCAGAAGCAGGGAAATCCAATCCAGGAAAGAGATTATGGGTAGTGGCAGGAAGGTTAAAGAGGACACAGGTCATAAATATTTAAATCTCAGAGCTTTCATATCGAGAGGCACAAAGCTGTATTTCATGGTAAGTATGGACTCTGCTTCCCAGCCCTGCACATCCTGTGCAGCAGGAAATATGTCCCTGCGCAGCACTCACTCCTTCGTGACTTTGTTTCTCTGTGCATCAGTGCGGGGATTAAAGGCATACGCCACCACGATGGGCCTACTCTGCCTACTTTCATGTATGTGTCAAGCTGCTGCTCCTGTTTTCGAAAGGGCATCTATTACTAAACAACCCGACCCTCACCCTAGATTAACCTCATTTCCCCCGTCGTCCTCACACCTAACCCCCAGCACAGTCTGCTGGAGCAGCTCAGGGACTGAAAAGGAACCGCACTCTACCTTTCAATGCGCATGACGAAGGCCAGGGAGTGTTTATCGGGTGCTTCCAGTGCACGAGGCTTCACCTCTAGTCGCCGGACTCGCACCATGTCCCGCTTCTGCCGCCAGGAATCATGCAGGAATGACTCCAATCGATTAAACCTGAACTGTTTCGATTTTCCCTAAGACAGAAGATAGGCATCACCATCTCCTCCACGAAGAAACACTTTTAGCTGGGCACGGTGGCACACGCCGTGGATCCCAGCACTGGCAGTCTAGTCTAGCACAGGCAAACGGATCTTTGAGACCAGCCTGGTCTACAAAACAGAGAAACTCTGCCCCTCCCCAAAGAAAAGCAACACTTTGACGGAGGAATCCAAGTGAAGACAGAACTAAGAAAATGTAGGTATTATGAAGCAAAGCTGTGGTAAATTAGTTTATATATATATATATATATTGGTAACGATTACTGTGTTTATGAAACCCAACACCATATTAGGCATCATTAAAAACAAGGTCTTTCTTCTGTCCTCAAAGCTGGTATATACAACACGCACAGCCCACACATACATTTTCTTTTTTTTGGTTTTTCGAGACAGGATTTCTCTGTGGTTTTGGAGCCTGTCCTGGAACTAGCTCTTGTAGAACAGGCTGGTCTTGAACTCCAGAGATCCGCCTGCCTCTGCCTCCCAAGTGCTGGGATTAAAGGCGTGGGCCACCCCCCCCCACATACATTTTCTAAACAAACATTAAAAATTGTTGGATACTTTTGGTTTGAGGTAGGTTCTCATTATCTAGCCCAAGCTGACCTTAAACTCTCCATCCTCCTGCCTCAACCCTCCAGAGCGCTGCCATTATACTAGCGTGCCACAGGTGGCATTTTAACCCCAGTACCCGGGAGGCCCATGCAGACGGATCTGTATTGAGGCCAGCCTAGTCACAGCATTTTCAAACCAGCCAGAGATGTACATAGAGAGACCCTGTTAAAGAAAAAATCTCTGCCAAACTTGGTCTCTCATCACTTAATTTGAATTTAGAAAGTCTTGACTTTCCCCTTAATTGGGATACCAGCATTTTGCTCACAGAAAGATGTTGGGTAAATCTTTGCTGGACTATACCGTATAGAAGAACAAATTGGGGGGGGGGGGAAGTCCTGATGATAACAAATCTATTTCAACATATGCTCAATAAAATTCACCCACTGCAAACCCCAATATCCCACACCCCTTGCTCCCCAGAATTACCTCCCTCCTTGCCAAAAGTGCCTGCTTTGCCTGGGTGGCTTTGAGGGCCTGATAAGCCTTCCTCTTTTTCAGGAGATTTTCTGGAACCAAAGGGATCTTTTTTCTTTCTCTGATAAAGAAAAATTGAAATCAAGGAAAATTATGAAACAAACATTCAATGGCTTTCCAAACCAATGCAGGCTTCTTGTCTTCCAGGCACATGTCAGTCTTTTTGAGATTTTCCGGAAGCCTATGGTTTCTGATCGGGCTTCCCTAGTCCTATAATGCTTATTCGTTCCCAGGAAACGCTTGGTCCCTGGGTTTGTGTAAGTCCGTAAAGAGTTGTGATAGACAACCGTGTCTATTACAGACACTAGTGGCGAAAAAAAACTCTAGTAAAATACGGAAAGGTTTGGCGAGGTTACAGATCCACACAGGAGAATAACGAAAGTCGGGCCAGGGTGGGGAGGGGAGACTTAGTGAGAAAGGGTGGCCAAGGTGTAACGGGGAGAATTTATGGTCGAGAAACACTACACGTGTATGAAACTGTGAAAAACACAATCATGACAGCCAAGCTGAGCAAACCCACTCGGGCACTCGCCAACCACTCTCTCCCCTTCCGAACCACAGTTTTCTCACTCGCTGCCCCAAAAGTCGCTCCAGGTATCCGAACCTCGGTCGTCGCCGACCCGCAGGCCCCAGCCCTACATTTTTTTTAATAACATGAGCCTTTTTTTTTCTTTCCACAACGGACAAGTGTCCTGTTGTCGCACTAGAGTATACACATAAAGGATGGAATCGGATACTCAAAGCCCCACGCGAGGGTTTCATCGACAAAACACTTACCCTTCCTCCGCCATCTTTCCGGCTCTACAGCTACTGCTCATGCGCAGGAGGGAAAGAGAGGCCCGCTCTATGGCTCCTTGATCATAGAGATGCCGCTCTCGCTCACTCTGGAGGACTCGGGCAGTCTGTGATTCCCTACTCGCTGTGAACTTCCGAGAAATGGTCTTGCTAGTCCTGAATCACCCCCCAAAATCCCAGTTTCCTTCGCATTCCTTCGAAGCTGTCTAGAATCTATGCCATTCATCAAGAGCCAGTCCTTTTCAGTTAGGCTGCAGTGCCCGGAACCGGGCGCTAGGCTGTCAACAGTGGAAACGCTTCCCACAATGCACCTGCACTTCCGGCGCTGACCCGGCGGAGGGCACCGACGCGACGGTGTTTCGTCTGCACGGAGACTTGAGAGATCGATCTGGTGCTCACACTCTGGTGGCGATTATTTGTGGAGAATTTGGGGGAATAAAAAGGGGTCTGGGACGCTGAGCCTTTGCTCTTCCTACCTTTCTGCACCTCGGCTTCCTCATCAGGTTTCCCCAGTAGCCGCTAGAGGACCCTTTGAGAGTTACAGTGTTGGCACAGTGACTGTGAAATGGACATCACAGATGCTACCGCCCAAAACTAGAAATACTTCGTCACCTCAGAGCCTTCCCTTGGCGTCGGCCACACGTCTAGCACAGTGCGTTTATCTGTGCTATAGTCTAACAGCACTTGAAGCGTCACCACATATACGATTTTGGCTTACTGTTCCCTTAACTAGGCTGAGTGCTCTTTTCTTATGTGCCGTGTCTCTTTTACACCACCTCACTACGGGTGGGTCCCAACCTCCTGTAACTCCATTTCCAAGGAATGCGATGACTTCCTCTGGCCTTGGGCATCAGGCACACCGTGGCACACAGGCAAAACACGAAATAAAGGACGCTGGGCATGATGGCACTCGCCTTTAATCCCAGCATTTAGGAGACGAGGCAATGGATCTCTGTGAGTTTCAAGGCCAGCCTGTTCTACAAAGTAATACCCTGTCTCAAAATTAAATGTGGAAGTCAAGCGACAACATGGTGTCACGGATGGTGTCCTGAGGCCCACTCTCACCTTGAGTGGTTAGAACAAGGGGGATTTATGGTTCTTTAGTACAAAACCTGGGGCCTGACAAGTTCCAGCCGCCCAAAGAAAATAGCGAGGCTTCTCCTCACGGCAGCTGTGTGTAGGGATGACTTTTCTCTGGAGCTGACTAAAATAAAGTTTTCCCCCTGTTATCTCTCAGG